TGGACCACATCACCAGTCAGTGTTTAAATTGCATCTCTCTGTGGACTATTTTTCAGGGCTGTGTTCCAGCACTGAAAGTCACATCAGTGTGGCCAAGCATATAAACCCTGGGACATTCCCTTTTGGAAATAAAATAAGGAAGCAAGTACAGGGAACATGAATTAAAAAAGCCATGCTACTATTCCTAGATACTTTTAAAATTATTTTGACTTTGGCAGGCAGTTTTTGCGGCTGTGTTTTACCTCATGTTTAATTGTAGCTGTTGGTCAGGGCACAGATGCTCAGAGATGTTATCTCTGGGAAAAGGTTGCAAAATGGGTGTAGGTCCATCAGGATGGAGGAAAAAGAATTGCTATGTTGCACCCTTGATGTCGCTGATGACTGTGTTTCAGCAGCTTGTCTTCTGGCTCCCTGTGAATGGGGTGGTAAATAAGGAGTCTGCATAAGGGCAAATACAGCAGGAACTACACAGCCCAGAGACTACTGGAATGGTTGTAGAGAGTAGCTCTGTGACTCCTCTGCTCTAGAAACCCTCTGAGGCCCTTCTATTCCCCATAAGTTGTCTGTCACAGGGACAAAGAGTTTAAAATTATGACTCTGTGGAAAGCAATTTGGATCAGCCATGAGAGAGAGGGAAAGCGTTACCACCAAATCCTTCTTTGCTCGGGTACAGGCACAGGACACTTCTGCCTGTTGCAAAAACCTTGTTCCTAGCATCCTAGAATTTGGGTTCCTACCATCCTAGGGTTTCTTATCTTCCCACTATAACAAACTACTTAAACTAAATCAGCAAGCTGAAGAAGGCTTTTGTACTTTTGTGGCTGGGTGACATCGTATTGTTGTGTATCATAACGCTGGGGTTTTGGTTGTTTTTTTTTACATCTTTATTGTTGGTTCTGAACCTGTGATGTGCCCCTGCTCTGCTGGTTTATCTCTTTTACAGCCTGTGAAGAGTGGTAGATGATTAAACACTGGCAGCCTAAGCCCCAGCTCTGGTTGAACCGGGAGAGATGCTACTGAGTTCAGCAAATTTCTGTGAATTAAAATGGCATCCTGACAGCCTTGAGCATCATTTGAGATTGGTCCCTGAGTTTTCATGGTCTTTGTCCCTGTGCGGCTGTGTCAAGGTCTCCTGTAGTAATACAAACCTTATGAAGTTCCACCCAGAGGCTGCAGGATATTCCTAGACCTTGCTGATGCTCTGCATGCTGTGGAGAGCAGGTTATACAATATGATGGTTAGGTACAAAGACTATGTGACTCATGCATAGGTAGAGCTTTTGTGAAAGCTGGCATGCAGATGTGAGCAAGCAATGTAGATGTACATGGAGATTTGGATATGCTTGTAAAACTTGCATCCCTGTACCCCTTTAGGGTATGTTTCTGCATTCACACCCTTGTGTTTGTATCCATCCCTCTGTGTATATATGTGGATGCCAGTTTGTGCATGCAATAATGTTGTCCAAAAAGCGGATTCATGCCCAGTGTGCAGTAAACCAATTCCACACTCTTGGAAGTGATACTGAGTTGATTCAGGCTGGGGTGCTGGGTGGCCTGTTACCCAAATCAAGTCCATGAATGCAGACTCTCTTTGTTACGTTTATACACAGACGTTATAAGGTAGTACACTCCCAGATACAGTGATTGGTTGTAATCTACATATAATTATAATATCTGCTGTGTCATTCCTTCTAATCACCACCTATGCTCAGAGGAGGGGTCTTCAACTGGCCCAGGGTCTTTTTGACCTTTGTTGTGATTTTAAGTATTATAATGAAGGTAGTTCACTTTAGGACACCTTAAAAGTTGGCTCTTTTGCCAAGTTAGGTAACCAAATGGTCACTTTGCCAAGCTGTCAGATAACTCATCCTTTAGTGCTTTGATCGTTCTCCTTTGTTCCCTCAAACACAACCAGTATCATCAGTGTATCATGAAAAGCCAGGCATGAATTCATTGGTACAATTTCAGCCCTGTTTCAAGTGTGGTATGAATCTTGCAGCTGGCACAGCTGGGTGGAGGAGGCTGCGGAGGCTGCATGAGCTCTGCATGCTGGTGAACTTACCTCACATTAGAAGGCAGTGGGGGAAAGTGGGTGGCATGTCACAGCCTGGGCTCTGTTACGCGTTTCCTGCACACGCTTAGCATGCAGGGCTGGAAGACTGGACTTCCTCAGGCAGTACTTGTTTACACAGAGCTGCCTACAAGGACAGTGCCTGGGCAGCAGGGAACTGCCTGCTTGCCAATGTGGGTAGGGTTGGAACACATCAGCTGAGGTATAAACGGACCTGGAGCTCAGTGGTTCCCTGGATGAAATTTAGCAGCATGGCAAGTTTCCTCATGTGGATGGATTTACCAAAAGGTGAGGAAATGCTTAAATATAAACCCCAACCCAATTTCTTGCATCCCAAAGAAAACCCCAAAACTCCTGCCCCTCCCTCTGTTGTGGTTTAAGCCCAGACAGTAACTCAGAACCAAGCATCCGCTCACTCACTCCCTACCTTCTTACCTCCCGCTGCTCCTGGAAGGATGGGGAAGAGATTCAAAGGAATGTAAATCCCACTAGTTGAGATAAGAACAGCCCAATAACTAAAGTATAATACAAAACTACTACTACTGTTACCACTAATAATGATAAGGGAAGTAACAAGAGGACAGAATATAAAAGGGAAAAAGAAAACAACAAACAAGTGATGCACAATACAACTGCTCACCACCCGCTGCCAACTGATACCCAGCCCAACTTGAGCAGTGATCTGGGCTTTCCGGGTAACTCCCTCCAGTTTATGTATTGGGCATGACATGCTGTGGTATGGAATACCCCTTTGGCTAGTTTGGGTCAGGTGTCCTGTCTCTGCTTCCTCCCAGCTCCTTGTGCCCCTCCTCACTCTCACAGCATTAAGGACTCAAAAGTCCTTAATCGGAGTAAACATTACTTAGCAACAACTAAAACGCTGGTGTGTTGTCAGCACCGTTCTCAGGGCAAAGCAGAAAACACAGCACTGCACCAGCTGCTAAGAAGGAGAAAAATAACTGTTACAGCTGAACCCAGGACACCCTCCCTCCCCAGAACTCCAGCACTGGCTCATTTAATGTCTGAACCTTCAGCTCCTGAACCACTGCTGAGCATACATTTGCAAACAGGATCTATGTGTGGGGGACTGTTCCCTGAGAGCACCTGCTCATCAGCGCTCTGCTGTGTGTTAAAAATTGTTGCTAAACACCCTCCAAAACTGCAGCACCCCCATGTAAGTGGATAAAATGCTCCTTGCTGGGGGAAGGGACAGCACATACTTGCAGACTTTGCTGGGAAGCAACTACTATCTGGAGATAATTGCTAGGAAACAGCAGTGAAAAGCGGCTGCTGAGAAAACCTGCTCCTTGGCTTTGAAGGCATTTTAAGCCATGTCTGGGGTTTTGCCTGGGCAGAGAGTGCCTTTCTCACCTTCCCTCGTGGGTGGTGGCGTGTGACGCTAGGCAGCATTGCGTGACCCTGCATATCGGCTGGTGCTCAGACGCAAACAGCTCCTGGCCAAAAGTCAGCGGGGCGGGATAGAAACGTTAAAACGTTTCGTAGCGTCGGGCGTCCTGCGGCTCGGCACAGAGAGAAAGCGCGCAGCTCCTGCCTTCCGCCTCCCCAGGCGTCTGACTTCCCCAAAGAAGCAAGGAGCTTGAGCCCCGCCGTGCGCAAGGGATGTTGTGTTGTTTTTCCAGCCATGAAAGTAACCTTTGGTTTTTCTGTTTTGTTTTTTTTTTTTTTTTGTATGTGGCAAAAGGCATAGAAGTTACTTCATGGGAATGAAATTCATCTAAATCAATGAAATAGGGTATTTATTTTCCGCTGGCCTTGGCTTTCCTGAGGGTCAATCCTTGTGAATTTATACTTTGCCTTTAAAACGTTGGAATTCTCTGTCCCTTTTTTTGATCACCTTAGATAATTTATTTCCAGTTCAGCTTGTCAAACAGTGACTCCTGGAAGTGCTGATCACTTGGACCAGCCTTTGCAGTCAGGAGAATGGGTATTGGAGTTCCAGCTCTACTAGATACTAGATAGTAAAAGATCAGGTTCTACCTGACTAACCTCGTAATGTCATGAAAAGCTTAGGAAGGGCTTCTACTCAGATAGGGTCTCCTAATTGCCTATGGAAGCAGGAGGGATTAATGCTGGCTTTCTGTCTCATTCCAGGTATCAGACTGGGGACTCTCCAGGACTGTGTGTGTGTCTGCCATCCAAAACTGAAGGGGAATGCCTGTCTCTGCCTGTCTGCTGTGCTTTCCAACCTGAAAGCATCGCTGAGGGATGATTTCTTAGGTAACCTGTAATAAGTCTGAAATAGCATTTATAGCAAGAAAACAGTGGGTTCTCCCCCATCCCTTCACCCAGGCACCCCAAGGGATGTCTGCTTGGGCTGTAATTAACGCTGAGACCAGGCAAGCAAACTTAATGAGTACTTATGTCTGGATTAGTACTGAAGTGGTGATTCTCACCAAGACATAGTTCTCTTGGCTGGCACTTAGCATTGCTGTTAGTTGCTTCTCAGGTAGACCTGCAAGACATCAAACATAAATGTGATATTTCACAGTCTAATAAACTTTTCTGTTTACTAATTAGTTTTGAGTCCACAAAGCCCTTGAAATAGCAGCCTATCTTACGCAGTGTGCTTCAGCCAAACCCAGAGCATCCACCATGATGAAAGTACTGAGCACTGCACCAGTCCCATCCTTCAGTGGGATGCCTGAGCTCAGGTGATGAAAGTCAGAGGTACAGAGCCCTCCCTCTGACCACCATGGAGGCTACAGCTCACAGCCAGCAGGAGGCATCGATCCCTTCCAGCACAGAGACAGAGGAAGACCTTGCCTTCAAGTTAAATGCTGCTGTGAGGGACAGTAATTAAAAAAGATGTGCTGGAGCTGCTGGAGAAAGGGGCAGATGTGAACTCCAAAGCAGAAAGTGGCTGGACACCACTGCAGAGTGCCGTGCAACCTAATGAAGAGGACTTGGTCCTATGATTGGCAAACTGAAGACATCAATATATCCAGCAGAGAATCCAGAATACTTCTCAAGGTGGCATCTACCTTGGGATCCATAGTGGGACAGAGGTGGCAGTAAGAATAAGCTCCAGTACAGAGGGTGACAAAGAGAAAAGGTTCTTTGAACAATGTAATAACTGTGAACTGAAGCTCTTCCAGTTTGAGAAAGCAAAAGGCTACGTGTACTTACGCTTCCCCCTCTGGGAGAAAAATCTTGAACAACATCTGCAGGAAACAGAAGGCCAAATGGATTGCAAAGGTGCTCTGAGGATGATCTTCCAGGCAGTGAGGGAGCTGCACTCCCTTGGATTTGCTCACCAGGATCTGCATCCCAGCAACTTTTTGATAGGTTATCCTTTGCTTTCTCAGTGTTTTCATTTTGCTTTCTTGATGTCTGTAGTGTAGAGAAGATGCTTCATAGCTGTCTGTAAAAAAAAAAACAAAACAAAAAACAGATGTCTTTATGCAGAATGGGATGTCTATGGCATTAGAGCTCCTCTTTGAGTGAGTATAGATATGTTTGCGGACAGCCAAATAAAACAGAACTTTGCATGTCTCAATAGACCTGTCCTTCTTTCCAGATCTTTGCAGTCAGATTAACCCACAGCAGATCTCATCAGAGAACTGTTTTCTAAAGAAGGGGCCATCCAGAAGTCAATGACAGACTGTTACATTTTCCACCATTAACATTTTCCCCATAAAATTTGTTTATTATTTCCTCAGATTTAGGTGGCAAAATTTACCTTGCTGACTTCAATAATAAAAGGAGGTTGATTGAAGACAAACAAGAGCTTGTAAACTCAGATTTAGAGGTAACTTCTCTGCAAATCAATGAATGGTTTAAAATGTCAGGTGTTCTCTGATATTTTCTGTAGCTGTGAAACCTAGGGGGAAGCCTTTCTGTGTCCTCAATTAGAAACCATTTTGATTTCTGGGAAAGCCCAAAGCACTGCCTCAGGATGATAGTGGCTAGGATGCAAGGCTATAGCTGGTGATAGGATATCCAGAGAACCCTGTGAACATGATTATGGTGCCTGTCTCCTCTGTGCATACAGCTTCCAAGTTTGTGTTTCTATGTATTTGCAGACTTCTGCACATCTATAGGTGCACATGCGTGTTCACATATACAGTCAGCTTATTTAGGAATAACAGTCCTTCTCCATTTGGTAAGAAGTTTCACACATCTGGCATGTGAACAGTGATGTGTTTCTTTGCAGGCCCTCAGCAGTCTTGTGCTGTATGTTTTAACATGGGGTAGGAAGCCCCTTCAGCAAGTCAGTGCTGAAGATTTAGTTGCCGATTCCCCAGATTACAAGGAGGCTCTGGATCTTGTAAGTAGCCTGGTGTCTCATGATGAATGAGGCTTGGAAGGTTTGAGCGTACATCCGTATTTCTGGAGCAAACAGATGTAAGTCCTGGGAGTACAAAGGGAAAGTTTTTGGTAGGAATTTGCCTGTAGTGCTGGGAACAGCAATGTCCTGTTGCAGCTAATGAATCATCTAATTCCACAGCAGGTTCAATTTCCTGAAGACTATATGGAATAAAGTCAAAGATCTCCACAATCAGAAAGCTGTCTTTCAAGCTCCTAATGCTACTGAAAGTTTTCCTTGTCCATGGTAGACCAAGGAAGTAATCCTCTTCTCTTTGAATTAGTACAAGGTTTGAGTGAAACACTTAGGCAGAAGCTTTTCCTATTTAGGAAAAAGCCCCATTTAAAACTTTAACTGGAAAAAGAAGCTTCAAAAGTAGCAAATACAGGTAACTGAAGGAAACAATTAAATTTAAGCCATGTAATCAGAGTACCCAAGACTAAAAGCATTGGTGGTAAAGGGAGCTCTGTTGACTGGGGTGTTAGTAGGGGATACTTATGATAGAATTAGCTGGCAAACCTTCAAGGGTGTTTGTTGGTGACCTCTGGCCTTTGCTGCCTGCAAATTCCTGGCAAATATGTTTTGTTAGATTGTCTCAAAAGCAGTGAGACCAGGCTTGTTTTTGCAGGGAGCATCTTGGAAAGACGTGCTGCATGTGTTTGAGATATGACAGTCTTGGCTCAATGCAGCAGCCCATGTGGTCCTTTCACCAGTGGCACAACTGGATCAAGACTTCCAAGTCTCCCCCTGCCCTACAGGCATGCATGAAAATCTCCTGTTCCATGTTGACATCCTAGTGCAAATGCCATAGATGGGAAACAGCAAAATCAGGGGGTCTGTGTGGTACCTGCCTTGCAGAGTGAACTCTTCTGCTCGTGTTGGGGAATACGCTTTTAAGAGTTACAAGATTTACTCATGCAAGATGATGTCTCTGCAGAAAGGCAGTAGGTGTGGTGAGTGGAGGTAGATGTGCTGCTTTTGTGGTGTGTGAAAGGCAGAGAATCATCTGTGTGCTTTTTTTTTTTTCAGATTAACAGAGATGTTCTGAACATCATGGAAAATCCCAAGAAAGGAAGATCATTCAAATATAGCAACAACGTCAGTGACCTACTGAGGTTCATCAGAAACCTGAATGAACATCCAGATATCAGGTACACGTTCACATCCGTGCCCCTGCCACAGTTGCATTGCAGGGAGCATATGGGTATCTGGAAATGTCAGGGAGTTTGAGGACAAAAATCTTCAGATGGTTTTCGGGAAGGGAGAACACAACTGGGATGTGGGAGAAAGTCCATTAGAGCTCATCTCCTTAGAGGGGTTATCTCTTCTGGCAGCACAGTAGTGTGTGAAGATCGTGTGTCATGGCTGCAAGCCATCTGGAGTCAGTCCTCAATATCACCTTCCAGAGGTTAAGAAAAGGAACTTAGATCATCTCCCACAGATGAACATCCTCAACCAGAGCCTTCTGTTCCAGAGGGATGGCAGCAGCTACAGAGAGTTGATGGCACTCCCTCTGCATCTTAGCCTTTGCAGAGCAGGCTGTGGGGTGGAGAGGTGTCCATGACAACTAAGGCAGGTCATGGCTCTGCAGCAGAGGACACCATGAACATGTCTTCTGGGCTGTTATTTTTGCTGCAGGCTGATGTTTCTTGCTATAACTCCAGAAAGGTTTTTAGATCCCTCTTAAATATTTGTATTTTCCTTTACACTTTTGAAAAGCCTTCTTATCTACCTTTCTAGTATTTCCAAAGTGCTGATGTTTACTGTGCTGAAATGCATTGAGATATGGATCACATAACAGCACAGGTCCTGTTAGAAGATCCTATTAGGAGGTCTTGACTCCTAAAAAGCTGCTAGTCTCTAACTCTCCATAGTCATGGGTGCTTAAGCATGAGGTTAGAGGTGGTGTTTGCTCCTGAGACAAAGAGGCACAAAAGTACAAAATGTAATCAGTTCTAAGTAATGTTAAATTTGATGGCTTTGTAATGGAAAATAACTGCGGTGCTTGAAGGTAGTTGACATAGTTTCAGGCCCTCAGGACCCTAGTACAAAAGGTGTGAGAAAAGCAGAACAGAAGGACAGGACCTGGGGATGGGGAGTATCTGGGACTACCAGATGTCCAGGGTGGGCACAGATAAACTAACTGATAAGAAGAAGGACAGGATGATTGCTATGTTTGGGGTGTTAATAAAGCCATTAAACTGGTGTAAGCATCTACTAGGGAGTATCCCGGACTAGCAGATGTCCAGGATGAGAGCAGTTAAACTAACTGATAAGTAGAAGGCCAGGATGATTGCTATGTCTGTAATGTTAATTCAGCTTGTTGGGAAAAGTCAACGACCCTTAAAGACCACCACATTTTTGTATGCATGCCGGAAACTTTTTGGAAAATGATGTAATATGCTCAGTGACCATATAAGGATGACCTGTATAGCAATTCGGGGACACACGTTAGGAGGAGCTATCCCCCGTGTCTCCCGGCGCCAATAAAGAATACCTGCTTGTCAACTTGAAACTGTTGGTGAATTTGTTCCTGGAGTTTTCTCCGAATCACTCCTAGTGATGATTTCACTGCGGCTGGTAGCCAGCACTGCTCTTCAGTGAAGATGCAGGTAGGATTAGGCAGATGGAGGTGCTGGAGAAATAGTGAAAAAAATGGATTGAGTAGCTTAGGGAAGATATAGAAAAGTTGCAGCTCAAGTATTTATAGGAAACCTTCCTGTGTTATCAGAAAGCCTTTGGAATGTTGTGGGGTTTGGGGTTGGTGTTTTCTTTTAGTTTTGGGGGGGGGGTGGGTTGGTGGTTTTGTTTCTGGTTTTGTTTTCTCTGCAAGGGAGGGACCAGGGTATCCTGGATATTTGAGTCTTTAGGCAAGCTTTAAAAACCCTTTTTGGGTTTGTTCTCTTTCAGGCTCAGCAACAAAATAGGAGACAATGCTGAATATTTCTTGAAGCTTTTTCCAGCACTTACCATTTATGTGTACAACAGTTTATGCCAGAATCCTGAATACAGTCACTTTGCAGATATTCAGTACTCTTTTCTGTAGGATGTCATTGCCTCCTGTCCCATGTCCAATCCCACCATCGCTGCCTCATTTTATGCCCTATTTCTTCGTCTGCAAAGGAGTGAAGAAAGTGGGTAAGGAGATGGGAGAGAGCAGATGCAGGGACAGAGTGTGGAGGACTTAAGTTAAGAAACTGAAGATGCTTTCGAAGTGTTTGGTGTAACAGGTTTTGGAGAGGAACCAAGTTGAGTGCCAACCCATGTCCCCCTTGACTACTCCATCCCTCTGGACTTACCTGCATCTGTAAGGTACAGATCAAGGCCCTGATCCTTATGGAGAGCAGGGAGATGTGGGACAGCCCCCATAAACCTGATGTGTCTGGGAGGCAAGAGAAGAGCTCGGGCATTGCCAGATGACATTGGACTCTGCTAAAGGAAAAAGTTCAAACTCCTTGCTAGGGCAAATATTCCCTACAGTTTGTACTAATGAGCTGCTCATCTAACCCTAGAAAGACAAGAATCTTGTCTTTTCAGTCTTTCTGAAACACAGCAGCCATAAGATGCCTAGGCAATGGCTCATTATTCATCTGATCTGTTAAAGGTGCACTCAGGCCAGCCTGCTGGGACCTGAAGGACTTCTTTTGAGTAACACAGGAGATGTTTCCACAAGGAATGGGTGCAAGGAGCACAATTCCACGAAACTGCTACTGTTCCTGACTCAGCTGAAGAAGGTCACTGACATCAAAGGGACTCCAGGGACTGGTTCCTCCTGGAAAGGACAAGCTCTGTTGTGGCAGGCTGCATCTGCAAGGCTTCAGCACTTCTGTCTCCAAACCAGTGCCACTTCCTGGGTATTACTGTCCTGCCAGATTTGGCTCACTTCCACAGCGCTGGTGCCCATACAGCTGCAGCATGCAGCCAGATCAGAGGTCTTGTATTGGAGGCTCATAGCACAAACCCATTTCTGAAATCCTACAGCATGCAGTGTGTGTCTGATTGTCCAAGGGCTTGCTTGTTTCTCCACTAATGCTCTGATTTGCACAATGATTACATGTTGTGTATGGAAATATTTCTCAGCTGTTGAAAAGATTCCTTAATTTTTTTCAGACTGAGATTGTTATTCTTTCAATTAGCCTGTGGAGACCCAAACTTGGAATAAACTTGCCTGGAAAACTGACTGTACACTCATTTATGAATGAGGTTCCTGCATCCCCTCTGCACAGAAAGAGAGAGTCTGCAGCACTGTAAAATGCTCAAAAGGCTGGGATTTTTGGCCTCCCTGTGGAGGTGCCTCTTGGTTGCTTAGGTAAGGTGGTGGATGGTTTTGTCACTGTTCAAATGAACTGCTTCTGGCCTATATGGGTATTTGATGGGAAAAGATGTTGGGAAGGGCTGAAGGCTTCCTGTCCTCAGAAGCAAGCTGTCTCTTGTGAAGTAACTGCCTGAATGGTGGGAGGTTTTGCATTGTTTTTGTGGAGTGAGGGTGAGGATTTCATGGATGATTTGAGGTGTGAAGATTAGCGTCAATGCTTGCATGTGTGTGTTTGCATACATGTAAAAGTCTGGGAGTGGATGTGTTTGACCCATCTCCTCTACAAATGAATGGCTGTCCAGAAAGTATCCTTGAGCCTACACATCTGTTTTAGCTGTGTATGATTATAGATGTATTTAGAATCATAGAATCGTTAGGGTTGGAAGGGACCTTAAGATCATCTAGTTCCAACCCCCCTGCTGTGGGCAGGGACACCTCATGCTAAACCATATCACCCAAGGCCTTGTCCAACCCAGTCTTGAACACTGCCAGGGACGGAGCATTCGCAACCTCCCTGGGCAACCTGTTCCAGTGCCTCACCACCCTAACAGGAAAGAATTTCCTTCTTATATCCAATCTAAACTTCCCCTGTTTAAGTTTTAACCTGTTACCCCTTGTCCTATCACTACAGTCTCTAATGAAGAGTCCCTGTTCAGCATCCCTATAGGCCCCCTTCAGATACTGGAAGGCTGCTATGAGGTCTCCACGCAGCCTTCTCTTCTCCAGGCTGAACAGCCCCAGCTTCCTCAGGCTGTCTTCATACGGGAGGTGCTCCAGTCCTCTGATAACTACCTTCAAACTAGGAGGCATTGCTGTGCATGAATTGGGTTGCAGACTGCCATACATATGGCTGGTAAGGTCCATGTGCCAGCCTGCATCAGTGGTCCTGGCTCAGAGCAAAAGGTCCTTCTGATGGTCTTGGGAACCTTTTAAAAAATATGTGAATGCAACAAGAAAACTTGACTGTGCCACTATGAGATGCCAATTAGAGAAAATACAACCAAGAGAATATTGACTCCTCTTATGTCAATATTTTTTTCTTTTCTATTCCTCCTTGCTCATTTTTTCTTGCTTATTTTCTCTTCTCATGGTCAGAAAGCAGGAGGATGCATAGAGATGGATATCGAAGTCTCAGCAGCATTGGGAGCAGGGATACTATATGAAGCACTATGTCACCATGCAAATGTGGCTCAATGCCACAGCAGTATGTTTCTGCTCTTGCTTAAGGAGAGGTGAGGCAATGGGCTGGGCTCCTTCAGCCTGTTGTAAAGCACCACATTTCTGGCTTGCTTTGACCTTTGCATCTTCTTGCATTGCTCTGCTGTTTTGCTAAAGGGCTGTGACTTGGCAACCTTAAAAGGCTGTGGAAAAGCCTTCCTGAAAGTGGGGAGTTCTCAAGGATGTCCAAACCAGAGCAATGATCAAACCCATGGAGGCTGTGACCTGTCTCTCTGGGGAAATCAGGCTGCTGGGAAGAATGTCCAGGAAAGGCTTGCGTGGTCTGCAGGGCTGTGTCCTGCTTTCCGAGAAGCCAGAGGTGTGCCGGGAGGCTGCTGTCAGAGGGGAAACTTGATCCATGCGTAGTATCTGCAAAGCTTGCTCACAGGGTGTCGGCCCACATGAAGAGGGGGGCGTGGGACTGGACCAGTGCTGGGGACCACCAAGCCATGCAAAGGCTGCCTCTCCTCCTTGCAGGATCAGGGAGGATGGGTGAGTGCTCAGTCAGAGGCCCGGCAGGATGAAAATCCAGTGGCAAGGTCAGCTGGAAAGTATTGAAATGGGGTAGTATGGCAGTTTCTGAGGGTGCAGCCTGGGGATAAAGGTATCCTGGGGAGCTGGGGGGTGGAACCAGCTGCCACAGTTAATGCTGCTTGATGTGCTGATGGCTCCCAGCATCAGTGCCCACCTGGGAGGTGCTGCCTGCCTTTGCCTTTTACAGGCAGGCTTGCAGACCATGCGTGGTGCCCAAGGGCATGCTGATTTGGCCCTACACGCTTCATTCCCCTGCTGTCATGCCTGTACATTGTCTATTTGCTGTGCCTCTGCCTTTTTCCTCTGCTCCTGCAGGCAGCTGGCTTAACCCCATGTGATGGGATCAGGTGCTCCCCATCCTGTCACTTTTGTGCTGAGGATATGCTTGTGCACAGGCATGGTCCCAGGTCAATGTGTTTCATCTGATACACTGGGAAAAAAACCCAGTCTGCAGATGCAGTGGAGTGAAGATCATTTTGGCTGTGGTTTTGCTGTGTGGAGCTTCAGGCACATCCGTGAAGCCTTCTAGAGAGTGGGCTCAGCTGGGCTCAGGCTGCAGAGCCTGAAGTGTTAGTGAAAAGCACATAAAAATGCAGCTAGCTTTTGGGGCTCAAGGTTTTTGGAGCAAAATCAAGTTACATCGCAAGGGCAATTCTGAGGATCTGTTTAGGTTGTAATAGTGGCATCAGCTTCCTAAGTCCTTCATTTATAGAAATCTGCTTAGATTTGTTCAGGTTTTCTGATCCTCCAGAAGCAAAGTGTTGATAATCATAACTCACAAATATGAAACATGTCAGTGTCTGCCTTAAATACACCTGTGTTATTCCCAGGATGCAGTCTTCTAGGATCTAAGGGTTAAAAAGTGGCTAAAAATAGCTCAAAGTTACAAAGCTGGGAGCTTGCTAGGGAGCTGTCAGAGTCAAGGTGTGATAAAGATCATGGTCTTTTCTTCATGAGGTCCAAAGAACGTTAGGGATTTCTGTGGCTTCCTGGTGACGAGGCAAAGCCACTCTGACTCAGTTTCACCTGGGGAAAATGAATATGGTATGATTTGGTTAGTGCTTTGTAAACATACTAGCTGTTAAAAAAAACATTCTGAGGCCTTGAGTCAGGCATGAGCTGATTTTGATTGGAAAATCAGAAAGGCTGTGGCAAGGCAGGCACCATCTCACCACTCAGGGACAGCTAAGTAGTAAGCCAGGTGGGCTCTCTTAGCATTGCCACCCACAGGAGGTATTTAAGAGTGAAGAGCTGAGATGAGGTTGTGAGCTATCCAGATCAGAGCAGCTTTGGTCTTCTGTGGGAAGTGTGGCTCTCTGCATAGCAGGGCTGGAGCAACTTCTAGGGGTGGGTGATGTTTGAGAAGCCCCTTTCTTAGGCAAAGTATTTATTGTGACTGCTTTCTGGCTTTAAGCACCTTCCAGATTGGGAAAGACCTCAAAGGCGCTGGTGTGCTTGGGCTACGTATAATTTGTTTACACTGTTGGGGGGTCCCAGCTATGTGCAATACAGTCTTTTACAGGTACATGTAAGGAAGGAGACTATTGTGTGGATAAGGGTATCAGATCAGGTGGAAATACACGCTGTGGCATGTTCCTGGTGTAGTTCCAGAGGTGCAAGCTGCTATGCTGTTACCAGGCAAGCTGGAGGATGCTGTGAATATTTTTAGGTCTCACTGCTGATTAAGTGCAAACTATGCAGTGTGATTGGGCTGTGCAGAGCTTTCTTGGAGCACGCCCCTGTCCTGCTCAGTGTGCACATTATGTTGGGAGTTCTGTTCTTCCTTGGAGGTCTGTCCTTCCCCTGATGTCTGCAGGGAAGGGAGAGATGTTGCATGAGTGGCCATGGTGCAACTGCTGATGGAGGCAGGGTGCAGGTGATCAGAGGTGAGCAGCATGGCTGTGTGCTCCTGGGAAGGTGCTCAGGGTATGGAGAGGTGCAGGAACTGGACATTTTCTGTGAGTGTTACTGGACATGGTGGGGGTGACCAGCATACTGCAGAGACCCACCCAGTTGGCCTTTAGGTTTTAAGGGGTGTCGTGGCTCTGCTGCTCCAGGTGCTTATGCTGGTGTGATCTGGGGGAGGTAGACTGCTCCTGTGACTGCCTACCTGCTCTGAAGGTAGAGCCTTTTCTCAAGACTTTAATCTGAATCTGGGGAAAACAACATATACAAACTTCCTATCATGGACCAGTTCAGGAAGCCCTAAACCTCAGAGCGGTCCTGGGCAGCTGGAGCTCCACTTGAGAGCAGGAACACTCCTTTCAGCACTTTTTTGCTCCTTCTGTTGTTCCATTGTCATCTGGGGTTGTGGCAGCAGGATCTGGATGCCTTTTGTGAATGATAAGACAATGATAGCATGATTGCCTGGTGAGGGAGATGAAGCAGTAAGGTGTGGCAAGTGCTCTGACAGCAAATGAGGGAGGACACCAGGATGCTTCTTTGACTTCTATGGGGCTTATACAAAGGTTAAAGAAGGGTGGCTGAGCAAGCACTTGGATTACCCAAATCTTGACTGTGGAGCTATTTGGGGGCTGCAGGGCAGGGGTGATATGTCCCACCCTGGCTCTGTTGCAGTGTTGGGGGGTCCTGGGTGGCAGATGAGGGGCTTGCAAGGAAATGGCACTTGGAAAAATGGGGACACACATTTGCACAGCTGCTCCCACACACAGACATGCTCCCAGCTTTGTGCTGGTGTGGGAAGCTTCTCCCAAGAGGAGCTCCATGCTCTTGCTCGTGAAGTGGGGTGCAGGTAGTATTCCCAACCTCAGCAGGACCGGCCCCTCCACTCTGCGTAAAGGCACAGACAGCACCACAGTGACGCCTGGTGATATAGATGGATTTAAGTCTGCCACCTTCCCAGTGGGCACACACTGCATCTGCACAAAGCAGTAATCCTCAAAATCGGCAAAAAAGCAAGGCGTGGACGATAAGAGGTTTTCTCTGGAGTTATAGGTATTTTCCCTAACAATTTTGGTGCCTTTAAGAGACAGCACAACCATATTTCTCAGCTGAAAAGCAAGCTTTTTATCTAAAGGTCAGAAAAGCAAGACTCACAGATAAAGGTCATTGGTGAAACTGTGATAAGGTGCAGAAAAGCGTTCCAAGCAAAA